CCTTACTCTCTTAAATATTTTTTGACTGCAAGCAAGAGTAAAGGGGACATTTTACAATTATTTTTAATATAGTCATATATAATGCACATATTGATATCTGTGGCTTCAATGGAAACTATACAGTTATATCTCCACACACACACACATACACAAACACACATTCCACTTAGATTTTTTTTCTTTTATTGAATCACCTTGAGATACACAGTTACAAAGCTGTTCATAATCAAGTCTTAGTCATACAATGTTCCAACACCCATCCCTCCACCAGTGTATATTTCCCACTACCAATGTTTCCAGTTTCCCTCCCACCCACCCTTCAATCTGCCTCTATGGGCCACTTAGATTTTTAGTGTAAATCTAAGCAAAGATATGATATCAGGTTCCTTCAGCAATGCAGAGAGGAAGAATACTTTATACCCTATTGGTTTTTTTTACATGAATATAACAGAGTTCTAAAATACATCTGTATTGTGACCAATTAGAAGTAGATGAGATCATAAGTACCAGAGTGATAGTACAGTGGATAGGGCATTTTCCTTTCATGCAACTGATTGAGGTTTGATCCCCAGCACCCCATATTGTCCCCCCAAGAATTTCCAGGAGCACTGCCAGATGTAGTCCCCCAAAACCAAAAAAAAATACCCAAAGGAAGAGAAAAAAGCCAATCTCTCTTATTTCCACTAATGTACCAACAGGAGCACACCATATTTGATGAGGTATAAAGTAGAAAGCAATCCATCTTGGGGATAGAAAAAATATATATATATATGCACACAAAGCACAACCTTAGAGAACATTTTTGTAATCTCTTATATAAGGGCTTAATGGCTCCAGGGTGAAATAGAACAATCTCCACACACTTTCCTCTAAGGAAATTTTTTGGATCATTTTTAGTAGATTATTCATAACAGGGCTGGAGCAATAGCACAGTGGTAGGGCAACCTTGCATGCGGCCAACTCTGCTGACCAGGGTTCGATTCCTCCACCCCTCTCAGATAGCCCGGCAAGCTACTGAAAGTATCTCACTTTCACAGCCAAGACTGGCAAACTGCCCGTGACGTATTCAATATGCCAAACACACTAACAAGAAGTCTCACAATGGAGACGTTACTGGGCCCGCTTGAGCAAATCGATGAACAATGGGAGGACAGTGCTACAGTGCTATTCATAACAAGCCATATACAATAAATTATTAAGGTCCTGCTTGGGGGCAGGGTTTGGAGATCAGGGCAGAAATGTTCGAAATATGGTGGTGGGAAGGTATAATGGTGGTAGGATTGGTGTTAAAATATTAAATGTAATAAATTATTGTTAACAACTTTATAAAAATAAAATAAAATTTAAAAAGAAAAGAAAAAGAAGTATATGAGATTATACTCGCTAAGAGAAGGCAACCAGCATCTTTGATGCCAAATGACTCCCTGTTAGCCTGGTGGGGAGTTTGCTCTCTGAGGAATATTTGGGAAGTTTCAAAGACATGTTTGGTTGTAAACCACCTGGAGGGAGGGGATTTGCCTTGCATGCAGCTGACTCTGCTGGTCAGGGTTTGATTCCTCCACCAGGGAGGGTACAAGTAGTGGGCAGAGGTCAGGGATGCTGCCAAACATCCCACAGTAGAGGACCATGATTTGATCTGTGGCACCATGTGGTCCTCTGAGCACCTTTGGGTGCATCTGGGGTGCCCCAGGTCATCCCCAGCACTGCAGGTCTCAAATAGCACCTTATCCTTAGGCCCTCGAATTGAACAGCACCTCACCCTCACGCCTCACATTGAACGGCCGGCAAAGAATCTCTGAGACGGGCTCCAGACTCCCTGAACACTATTTTTGAGCTCCAGGTGAGCAAAGATCCTAGTGTTTAAAAAAAAAGGTAAAGGTAAAGGCCCTCCCGTTGATCGTCGATTTGCGAGCGGGCCCAGTAACGTTTCCATTGGAGACTTTGTTGTTACTGTGTTTGGCATATTGAATACTCTCATAGCTTGCTGGGCTCTCCAAGAGGGGCGGAGGAATTGAACTCGGGTCGGCCACGTTGGCCGCTTGTAAGGCGAACGCCCTACCTCTGTGCTATCGCTCCAGCCTAGTGTTTAAAGAAGAGGAAAATTGACTGGAGCACGTTCTTGTGATACACAGAAGCAGGATTATGCAGGGCCAGGCAAGCCTGCCAAGCCTGGAGTCTCTCTGCAGGGAATCTGGACTTCTTTCCTGTCTGTGATTAGCAACCGAGTCACAGTCGTTCTCCTCCTCCTCTTTCTCATCTTTCTCCTCATTGCCGTCCTCCTCCTCCTCTTTCTTCTGTTTTTGGTTTTTGGGGTCACACCTGGTGATGCTCAGGGCATTACTCCTGGCTCTGCACTCAGGAATCACTCCTGGTGGTGCTTGTGGAACCATATAGGAGGCCGGGACTAAACCCAGATTGGCCATGTGCAAGGCAGATTCACTACCTACTGTACTATCACAACCAAATCACAGCTATTCTGAGAGACATGCATGAAACCAAGCAGACAGAGAAGCCAGGAGGTTAAGGTGCATTCCGGGCTGGAGTTGGGAAAGATTACTCTGAGTCTCATTGTTCATTTTGACTGTGTAACTCTCTGTTCTCTACGAATTCCTCAGCCTATGGTTTCTGGCATCCAGCTGCTGGTGAAGAATGTACCTTGTAGGGAAATGGAGGTAATTAGCTGCTGCAAATTAGCAGATTGGAGCTGGAGTGGGTAGGGTGTTTGCTTTGCAGTGACAAACCCGGGGTTCAATCCTCAGCATTCCATATGGTCCCTCGAGCACTGGCAGGAGTAATTCCTGAGTGTAGAGCCAGAAGTATCCCCTGCACATTGCTGGGTAAGATGACAAGGAAGGAAGGAAGGAAGGAAGGAAGGAAGGAAGGAAGGAAGGAAGGAAGGAAGGAAGGAAGGAAGGAAGGAAGGAAGGAGATCGTTGTTGTGCAGTGCTCACAAGTATCTGTGGGCTGGGTAAGATGACAAGGAAGGAAGGAAGGAAGGAAGGAAGGAAGGAAGGAAGGAAGGAAGGAAGGAAGGAAGGAGATCGTTGTTGTGCAGTGCTCACAAGTATCTGTGGACTTCCAAGACAGTCCCAGCACCCTGGGCTCATGTGCATTTTCTTCCTCTCAAAATTATTAGGTTGTTGCTGCCCCTGAAATGGTGGGCTAAGCCTGCTGCCACCTTCCTTTCAACATACAAGTAGTATTTCATAAATCTCTCCTGAAGGGGGTACAACTGTAAAGACAATACACACAAATGATTGTGTATGAGTGTGTGTGTGTGTGTGTGTGTGTATTAGTGCACATGCATGGAGATTGGGTTTCATCTCCTGCACAAGAGCTGGTTGCCTGGACCCAACTGGATGTTGTGCAATGAGAGCCAGCACATCATCATTGTAGAACCATCAACTAGACTAGAATTCATTTTTCTAAAATGCACACTTACTGTAATAGGAGATGTGTTGCTTCTTCTGAAATGGAGCAGGTGAGCCATAAATTATTAATCTCCCTCAGCGTAACCACAGATCCAAAGATAATTAAGATCATTATGATACTTTGGGGATGTTTCCAGCTCTCCTGGGCAGAGGGCAGATATTTATTTCATCGTAAGAATAGTATCTGCTGTCAAATACAGTTCTCAGATTCCGGATCCCTTGTGGGAATGACTGCCCCTTGCTGATGGTTAAGTTAAATAAATAAAAAGTCCAATCCTTAGATTTATGATGTCTTTAAAACCACACATTTCCACAAAACTGGATTAAGAAGAGGTGTTTTTTTTTGGGGGGGTGAGGACATTCCCTTATTTCCTGCAGTATAGATTATTGATTGAATGCAACTTTGTTTCTTTCTAATAGCATTTACCATCTTGTAGATTAAATAGAATACATTTTTTCTTTTTATATTTATTTATTGAATCACTGTGGAAAAGTTACAAAGCTTTCAGGTTTAAGTCTCAGTCATACAATGATCAAACACCTTTCCCTTCACCAGTACTCATTTTTCACCACCAAGAACCCCAATATACCCCACCTCCCACCCCTCCTAATGCCTGTGAGGCGGATGATTTCTACTTAACTCTTATCTACATTGATTACATTCATTATTTCGACAAAAGATGCACCATTACTGTTTAGAATCCCCCCCCCCCCAACAATCAGAATTGCTGAAAAGGCATTGTGAAATACTTTGTTTTCTAGAGCTGGTATGAGAATCATATAATGTCATATAATGATTTTGGATTTCTGCAAAGAGCCAGATAATTACGAGATTGGTTTCTGTGTGTCTGGTGTTATGGCTGTGCTGGAAAGCCACTCGTGGGGGGAAGGGGGGGAACTTGTGACCTTGGTAGGGCGTGAAGGATGAGCCGGTACTGCCCCCCTTCCCATGAGATTGCAGTTGCCTCATGGGAAGGGGGGCGGTACCAGCTCATCCTTCACACCCTACTGAGGTCACGAGTTGCCCCCTACGAGCGGCTCTCTGGTACGGCCATGGCTTCAGAGGCAAAGGGACTTACTCCAGAGTCCGGCAGCTTGTGGCAGAAAAATGAATGGTCCATGCATTAAACTACAGTGCGATGCCTCCCCGGGAGGGAAAGGGTGTTGCTCCCTTCCGCCTCCCCGCCCCCCCTGCAGCAAGGTAGCCGCCACCTCAGAGCTTAAATAGAATACATTTTTATAGAAAATTTAGAAATGACCAAAGTATAAACACACAGGAGAAAATTAAGATCTCCCATAATCCCAACTGGGGCCAAAACCACTGTTAACGTTTTCAGTGTTTACTCTAGCACACAGAGGTAGAATAACAGAGCTATGGTTTGGGATGAGGAGAGAGGATATAGGTGAATATATAGGTGTTTGTCTTTAAAGAAATGATTCAACTGATAATATAATTTTGTAACAGGAATTTATTGTGTTCTGTTCAGCCTGAGTGTGCCCAGCGCGTTTTTCTATGCCATTAAATATTCCTCATTCATTGTGGGATGTAAATCTTTTTTATTTTGACAGGACAGTGACATTGAAGCACTGGTCAGGTGTTTGGAAAATGTCTTGGGTTGCACCTCATTAGGTGAGTACATTTTCTCAGATTCCTATTGATCGCGATACCTCCTGATTCTAATGTAATGTCCAAGAACACTAAATCTTGGAAGGAATCATAAAACTATTCCAGCTCCTGCTCCCCATTTAATGGATGAGAAGACTGAGGCCAAGAGAAGTCAAAATGTCTGGCCCAAGGGATTGGGGACTCAAAGAAGAAAAATTCATCATTATTATATGATCGCCAGCCTTCAGGGATAGCGGCATTGAAAGCCAGCATTTGTCATGGTCTCTGGCTTTATGGGTTTCCTTGAAAGGGGCCTCCATCCTCTCTCATCCTGGAGAAGCATATTATATTCTGTCACACCCAAAGAACTAGCATGGTGGAGTCAGTTCTCAGAAGAGATTTGGTCTGAGTTACAAAGCTGAAGTTTCTTTAGCATTGTCAGTCCAGATAAATAGGATGGCTCTGCTTCAAGGCAAAACCACCCTATTTCTTAGTTTCTTCTTTTTCCAATCCAAATAACCCAGCTGTGATCACTTCTACTCCTGGCTGATAAATTGTTACACCTGACTGGAATAGAATAACAGGCTATTCTTTGAGGTTCTGGGTGCAGCAAAGGACTGAGGTGGTTTTTTTCTGCTGTTCACACTTGATTGTGCATTTTTGCTTAGAACTTTTTTAATTGCCTGGCCCAAAGCAGTCTTTCCAGGCCATGCCTGGGAGAAGGAAAAAGACTTTGGGGACATCTCAATTACCAAAAAGATGTTCACGATACCCCAACTTGAACATTAAAAGAAGAAAAAGCTAAACTCAAACAAAAAACTTACACCTGTGCTGACAGATAACTGGCTCATTTTTTCCACATCATCTGCAAGGTTCTGCATAAGTATACCCGGTAAGTAGGATGCTTTGGTGTTGGCGTGCCTCTGCTCTGCCAGTGTTCTCGCACCTGAATGGAGGATTCAGAGAGCATTTCAAGGTTGGCTCCATGCCAATGGCTAGAATCTACAAGACCCGGAGCTCTGGAACTCTGCTTCTGACTGGACTGACCTTGGAGAATGACCTGCTTAGCTCCCAGGGCCACAGAGGCTGCTGCGCTGCTCCCAGGCGGGCTACTGCATGAAGCCCACAGATATGGAGGTGATGGGAGAGCATGAAATATGTGCCTGGGGAGGGAGTTCCCATAACTCACGAGAATATTCCAGTGGGTGCCCAGATAGCATCACTTCATGATAACATTGATGATGGGGGCGGGGGGGGGGGAGGAATCACTGGGGTGTGAGTGGGAGGAAAGGGGAGGGGAGGGTTGCCTCTTCCCCAATGTCTGTGTGGACTTGCTTGGGGGACTTTGGTTTCCTTGCCCAGCTCTAAGATGTGCACGAGAGGTGGGTGAATTGGGTATCACAGGTTTCCAGCCTGAATGAATGTGGATGTGAATCTTGGATCTCAAGGGTACCAGGATGGGCTCTGGTTACTCATGCACCACAAAATGAATGTATGAATGAAACCAAAGACTGTGAAATGAATGAATGAATACAAAGGGTGGTTTCCTGCTGGAAGTGCTGTGGGAGATGATCGGGGGACAGTGGTGTGTGTTAGAAGTTCGGCGATGTTCCTGTGGCCAGAATGCCGGAGACCTCACCTCCTGTTTATATATATTACCTGTGATAGACTGGTTTTGCTAAAGTCATGGCTCTCAAGAACCCTGAATGCAGCCATTCAGTGGAAGCTCACAGTCTTTCCACCACAGTCTTTCTAGGGACGTGTCTCTCCTGACAGGGAGCTATGAAGAAATTCCACAGTGTTAGTGGGGCTGAAAAATCTTAGAGGACTGAGATTGCTCAGGTGTGAGCTGTTGTACTGTAGGGTTAGATTCACCGGTAATGTGAGAAATAGGAATACTGAGACAATAACTCTATGAATTCCTCCATCACTGAGATTGCTAGAATATGGAAGAATGTGAATAGGGTCCAAGGGCTGATCTGTTCAACCATGCATTTGTGGTCCCAGAGATCAAGCTCACACCTGCAAGACAAATGCTCTATGGTGGAGGCCCTTCCCTGGTCCTCCCAAGAGACAACGGAAGCCAATGGGTCAGAATATAGGACATGTCACTTAGTAATGAAGCATCTGTGAACTTAGGCTTCTCCCTGTCACCATGCACTTTGCACTGTTGAGCATGTTTAAGCGCTGCTCTTCGTTCACATGCTCAAGGGTTGCTCTGTACCCATAAAAAGAGGAGAAGGAGCCCCCAAAATGCTAATGTCCTGGCAAGTGACTTGGGCCAGGCAAGGATTTTAGCTTCAGGGCTCTGAAAATGTTGGGTGCCATGGTTTGACATTCCCCCTCCTGCACCCCCGTTCCCAGACTGAGTTTTCTTTTCATTTAAATCGGGGACTGGGAACATTTCCCTTCTGAGTGTGGGAGAATGGAGTGGAAACTTGAAGGAGCTTATGCCTGTCACTCCAGAGAGCCTAATTTGAAGGTACCCCATTGAATTCTTGGTCTCTCCACCTCTGGGTCAGATGAGACCCTTTAGAGCAGCAATTCTCACACTGGCCCCAGCATCTGAATCCCTTAAAAGGTTGGAGGGAAAGTCGGGTGTGGACCCACATGGCGCAGGGAATCAGATCCAGGCCTTGGCTCGCCATGCCTGTGCTCGGCCTATGGAGCAAGAGAGCAGGCTCTCGCTCTGTGGCTTCTGCTCTCCAGTGTACACGCCACTCTCGGAATGTAAAGCATGTGCGTATCTAGTACAGAAATGCACCCTGACTGCAGATGCCTGCAGTGTTTGAGGCACCCATAGCCTTCGAGCTTGTCTTGAACTAAGTTTGGAGGCACTTACAGGTAAATAAATTGAGACAAGACATTCCAGTAGTAGGTGGAAGTGAAATGTAAAGTGAAGAAGTAGATCTGATCTAGCTTAGACAGGAATCAGCTCTGGTTTTGCCTTTGTTTTGTTTTTGTTGTTTCACTTTCTTTTGCCTTGCTTTAGCACCTCCAGTTTTATTGTAATCGGAGAAAGGGAGCTGGCTCATACCCGTTGGGGTGCTGGGGGGTGAAGCAGGCTTGGCAGGATGTAAGGCATGGGCCTTAGCCCCTGCACCATCTCTCTGACTCCCTATAGGGATGAAATTGAAATACTTCATTAGATAAGTTTAAAGACGACAGTGTGCTGGTTTGACTTACATTTATTGTGGAATGATCACACAGCTTTAGTGTTCATCACACCTCAGACAAGAAGAGAAAATCACCCTTGTGATAAGGGTTTATCCTTGTCTCATACTGCACTGACAAATGGTATTTTTTTTTAATTTTTAATTTTTTTTGCTTTTTGGGTCACACCCAGCGATGCACAGGGGTTACTCCTGGCTCTGCACTTAGGAATTACTCCTGGCGGTGCTCAGGGGACCATATGGGATGCTGGGAATTGAACCTGGGTTGGCTGTGTGTAAGGCAAACGCCCTACCCGCTGTGCTATTGCTCCACCCCCACAAATGGTGTTATTAACAGCATTGTGCTGTATATGACATCCCTCATACCTGTGATTTTGTACTCTCTGACTTCTTTCTTCATTCTTTCCCCTACCTCACCCCTACCCTCTTTCAGTCCACCCCGTCCCCCCAGCCTCCTAATCAGTTTGTACCCTGTGCATTGGGGTTTTGAATTCATAAAATTTCATATCAGTAAGATCATACAGTGTTTGTCTCATGTGACTGGCTATTTTAACTTCCCATCCCTCCAAGTTAATGAATGTGATAAAGGCTAATTTTAGCTTATATGGGACTTCATTGTGGGCATAGATATTACAGCTCTGTGATAATAATCACAATGTGGACATTTACGTTGCTGCCACAGCTTGGCTATTGTAAATGCTATTGCTATGCAGATGCTAGGGAACTTTTATTTATTTAATTTTTTGGAGTGTTTTTACTTCCTTTGAATATATTGACAGGTGTCGTTGCTGGATGACATTGGAGTTCTGTCTGTATTTTCTGTGTCTCTCCACACTTTCCCACGGTGGCTGTACTGACTCACAGTCCCCCCAGCACTGTGCGTGCAGGTACCCTCTTCTCTACACCCTGCCTGGCGTTTGTTGTCTCATTTTTCTGTTTTTAGTTTTGGAGTGTCTGAGATTCATCTTGTCTTTTGATGTTGACCACTGTAGTGGGTGTGAGGTGAACCCTTGCTGTGATTTCCACCTGCATTTCTAAGTGGTCAGTGGACTGAGTATCTTTTCTACTACCCTTTATAGAGGCCCTCATAGCCTTTTGTCTATCTTTGGGAAAGTATTTATTTGGTGTTCTTTTGCCCAAATTTAGATAGGATTTTTGTTTTTATGCTCTTGAGTTATATGAGTTTTTTTGGCTTTTGTTTTTTTGGGTCACACCTGGCGATACTCAGGGTTTACTCCAGGTGGTACTTGGGGACCATATGGGATGCTGGGAATTGAACCTGGTTCAGCTGCATGCAAGCGCCCTGCCCATTGTACTACCAGCTGTACTACTCTGGCCTCTGTATCATGTATCTGGCTGACAAATATCTCCCTCCTCCCTTGATTCATAGGTTGTATTTTCACTTTGTTATTTTATTTATTTATTCATTTATTTATTTTATGTGGCTGGAGTGGTCCAGTCCAGCCACGTAAAATAAATAAATGAATAAATAAATAAATAAGCACATTTGCCTTGCACGCAGCCAGCCCGGCCAAGCCGGGTTCGATTCCTCCGCCCCTCTCAGAGAGCCTAGCAAGCTACCGAGAGTATTCAATATGCCAAACACAATAACAAGAAGTCTCACAGTGGAGACGTTACTGGGTCCGCTCAAGAAAATCAATGAACAACGGGAGAACAGGACAGGATGTGGCTGGAGTGATAGCACAGCAGGTAGGGCATTTGCCTTGCATACAGCCGACCCGGGTTCAATTCCTCCATCCCTCTTGAGAGCCGGCAAGCTATGGAGAGTATCCCGCCTGAATGGCAGTGCCTGGCAAGCTCTCCATGGTATATTCGATATGCCAAAAACAG